AGAAGAATCTCCATCAAAAGTCTGTTCAAGGGAGCCCCTTTCAGCCTGACCAAGCTTATAATTCTGAAAATAAAGTTCTAATGGAGTGATCTTTTCTTATATTGTATTTACAGTGGGAATTCTCAGAAATCCCAGCCAAGAATTATTGCAACATTATACAAAGCTTAAAAAAAACTCTATAGCCCTGTGCTTAGCACTTCCTAAATCAGGCCTGATGGCATTCTTTGCCATTCACACATTTATTCTGCGTAACTGAAATTAATGCAAATTTTAATATTTACTTGAACAGAATGAAGTTCTCTTTGGGCATCTTGGGCAGACTTGAAGAGTTGATTTATTTATTATTGAGGACAGATCTGGCAAAATACTTGTGTTTATTCTTAATTTCCTTAATTGCAAGCTTATTTTTTTAAGCACAGTGCTCTATTTAAGCACAGCGCTCTATTGTAAAGTTTGGATAAGAACATGCCTGAATGTTTTACTAATATAAGTCCCAAGATTGGATCCATTGCTATAGTGTAAGGGTTCTTTTTAAAAATGTGTTATTGAACTACTTCTTTTTCTTAGCAGAAAAGCCCAGCACTGCAATTCACGTTTTAAGAATGATCGAATGCTTTAACAGTTTGTTAGTTCCCCTTGGATATGTATTGTATTTAAAGGTTAAAGTATGCCTTGATGAAAAAGTATTTGCCTTTAGCTATTCATTGGTATTTTATCAATTGCTTCAGATGTGAAAAGCCTTTTTATTTTGGTTGAGGTTTATTTATTTCTCACTGCTAAACTTTTCTGTAGTTTGCACCATATGTCAGTTCAGTATTATGCATTAAAATCAGGTTTGAATTTTGGCTTCTCTTTGGGGTATTTTACAAGGAGAGAGATTTTACACACTAAAACGCTTTCTGTAGAACTCAGCTAAAAAAAAAAAGGATGAAGTAACTGAGTCTATACTTTATGTCTCCTTTAAATGTATTCTCTTTAAAAAGGGTTTATGTAATTTTGCATAATTTTTTTGGCAGGAATGTTTATTGCCCAGCTGTGTGAAATTATTAACGTACCTCTCAAGCTGCATTTTCAAAGATCGGTAATATATATATAACACTCTTTGAGGGTCCTAGATACATACTATTTTTATTGGAGACCCTCGTTCCACTTTAGTAAAAGGATGACACAAGATGTTTACTTAAAAAGGAGTCTTTGACGTCCTCCTGAGAATGTTTTGATAGAATGGCATACATTTGGTTACAATTAGTAAGCCAAACAATTTGCCATTGTTATCTCACTGTGTTTGTCTAGAGCCTGTAAGGAGCTTTCAGAAAATATCCGTCTCCATGTTTCAGTTAATTGATTGCATGTTCAGTAGGATTATTCTGTTTTCTAAAACTCCCTGTCCTTTTAGTTTTATCTGAGAGATTTTACACTAAGGCATGTGGTGGAAAGCAAATGGGAAATTTTGGCACAGCTAGGCATAAAGAGGTATTGTAGTTGTATCAAGGCTAATATTCCCGTGTGTGGGAAAAAATACCAATCTGTTCCTGCTACTTCTGGGTGCAAGATGTTATACCCGAGGGCTGAAAGTAATAGTTGGTGGTGTGAAAGTATTTACCAATATCAAGTGCAGATGAATGTTTTCTGAGCCAGCTGAAAGCTGAGTTAATCGTATTTTAGCTTAATATTTGAACTTGTATTCTGTCTGATATAATAAATAATGGGTGATTTAATTCTATTCAAACTTTATTGTGTGATTAAAGGACTCAAACCCTTATCTGAAGCCTTTGTTATGTTGTAATTTGTTTGCTTATTTGCCATTTTATGTCCAATCCATAACTTCTCTTCCTTCTGTATTTTAGCTGAAATACATCTGCTGAATACTTTACTAACTAGATAGAGATTGACGTCTTGAATCTTGGTTTAGATAATAGGTTACCTATATTTTTGGACAGAAAGCATATCTTGGTAAATACATCCCATGTTGCTAACGATTGTTTGGTGGTTACATGATTAAGCTGTCTCTGATGTGAATTAGTGTCCATGTCACAGAAATCCTCGGTGCAGTTGTCTCCAGGTGGGATCACTGTAATTCTAGGCTTAGGCCTGACAGCAGGACCTGGCGGTGCTGTGCCTCCTTTAATCATTTTTTTTTTTGTTTACGCTCTTATTAGAGACATCATCAGTCACAATTCCATTAACAATAAGTATGCGTTGGCAGGAGAGAGATATTGCAGGAGAGCTTGTATTGCCATTCCACTTGATAAACCGGTGTCTTTAGAAGGGTGTTCTGTGCCTCTTGCCTTTGAGACTGGTAAAGCCATGCCACTTCCATGAATTCTCGGTGGGAGTGGTCAATACTGAATTGAATAATTCCCCTTTGATTTTTATCTTTAACGAAACAGTTCTTGAAAAGGCCTGCTAGGGTTTGGATGGGTGCACAGGAAGAAAAGAGTAAGAGAATTCCTCCTCTGACCCGTGCTTTCCACAGCCATTGCCTCAGCTCCCGCAGCACGATAGGGAAGGACAGACTTGCGTGGAGTCCTCTGTGGCTGCTCTGCCCCACGCTGCCCTCTGAGTGTCGTTGCAGAAGGCACTCAAATTTCATGGGTCTCTGTGCCAGACACACGACTTGCACCTTGGCATACCATGCACCACTTCTTTTGTGTGCAGCAAAATCACACTCTCTGGTGCCTCCAAAATAGGAACTGAGAGTTGGGCCCCTCGGTACATGTCAGCAACAAACTCACTCTCTTTCATTTCCTTGTCATCAGAGCTAAGCTATGTCAGTTCATGTTCTCTAGAGCAGTTTGAACTCAATTTAGCTGGTGATTAAGTTACTTTGTTCAAGTGAATTGGAAGCTGGTAGGAATGTTTGTTCAAAGGGTTAACTTAACCTTCCCCAAGGTTGTAACAGACACTGGAAGATCAAAAGCTCTTCCAAACGCTTAGAGAAAAAAAGAATTTCTACTTTTACAGTTTTCAGTCAGTATCTTCCCCCCGGAAAGAAAGTCTATGCTTAATGTACTTAAACTCACAGTGCAAACAACTCAAATTGTCTCTAATCATAAACATAATTTGTCTGGAGTTTCAGTTCTTTAGATTTATGCAGTAGCCATGTTTGTCAGTACTTGGCACTGGTGACATCATCTTTGTTGAAATGCCGGACAGTGTGATGAGTCCCAGATGTTAACACACAGCACAAGTCTAAAGACAGAATAAAATACAAAGATCAACTTTAACAGCTATGGAAGTAATAAAAGGTGATTCTGTTTTCTTCTAGTATTCAAAGATAAGCCTTTGTAATTTGTTTGTGGCTTGTTTTGCATAAATGATCAATCAGGGACTATGCTGAAAACTCTGTGTGCAATATAAAGGGGAACTGAGATGTGAATTTGGATGAATGCTGAATAAAGCATAATTTGGCTTCATGATTGCACTATTTCCTTTGGGTTTTCCAATCTTTGACTTTTGTATGTGCAGATTACAATATGCAGAAGATGTGCACCGAGAACCAAATGTTCCTCTTCCTGAACTGCCAGGATTTAACGTGTCATTTGGATAATGGTCATGCATGGCTATGTCAGCACATCATGTTTTCTAATGTACTGTAACATGACATGCCAATGTAACCAAGAGTAGCACTGTTTCCTAATGACATGTCATGTCTGTGAAATGTAAAAAGGATGTGACTTGCTGAAAATCAGGCTTGAAAATGTGATTTTATTTTAAAATAAAATCACTCTGTACATGATTTTTCCTTTTCCAAAACTTGTTTTCATGAAAGAATGTTTTAGATGCTTTTAAGGGAAAAAAGAAATCATAAAGGTACCTAGCTATGGTATCAGATTAAATGCATGTCTGCCCAAGCATTTCATGTTGCATACTTAAGGTAAAATAAGCAATAACAAATAATATATCCATCCAGAGTAACCTCAGCACTAAGTGAGGCTGACCTGACTAATGTTTTCAAGAAAAATCAGGCAGAGGTATTCCCTTAACCTCATACCAACAAAAGCAAGTTTTTTTGAGCGTTCTGTGGTCTGAACACTTGATAGTGTTCAGTGTCACAAAAAATTCCCATAGCCACGGCTTAAAAGTTGGTTTGGAAAATGACTACCTAGTTGTCAAATTTGCTTGCTTAATTTACTGTGGTTCTCCAGGTTTCAGAGGTATAAAACAAAATATGTTAAAGCCAAGGGGAGAAAAAGGAAATTTAAACCTTGCATATTGGGGGAATTACAAGAGGAACGTATCCTATAAACAGGAATTATCAGCTGGATGTATGTAACTCATATGTCACTGTCTTCTCTTACAAATTTTCTCATCAGAAAAAATATAGAAATGCATCAAATTGTAATCGCGTTTCAGTTCTTCTTAGTAGATTATTCTTCATTTGTTTCTTTGGGGTGAAGCTTTTGAAAAGTACTTGGCATTACTCTCAGTGTGTTTCTATTAAAATTGATAGGGATTTTATCCCCTGAAATCAAGGGGAGCCGCATTAACCTATGGTTATGTATGCAACGGTTCCAAGAGGTTCTTGGAAAAAAACTCCTAAGACTGTGAATGTGAACATTTGTGAGCATTTGTGTCTTTGAGGTGTTTGGTTTGTTTTGAAAACTGCGTACTGGCACAAATCTCAGGCTTCCTTGTGTTTATTATGAGCAACCATCACGTCTTTTTACTGAGTGTGTTCACAGGGTAGCTAAAAAAAGGAGGGGAAACAGTTTTCATCTTTCACTGAGGAAGCAGTGGAAAAGCTCTGAAAAGAATACATATTTTATAAAACCTGAAAGTGAAGAAATTACTGAATGAGGTCTGTGGCGTTGGTTGATGGTACAATTTTCACTGTGCCACTCAGTTCCAAGCATGTCAGATGACACTGACACTGCTGAGTAAATGCGGTTTAATTGAAATTATTTTGATTTTTCTTACCTTTGCTTTCAGATTGCATGGTAATTTGGGAATAAATACTAAAAAACAGGTTAAATTTTATTCTTCCCTCTGTTTTTAGGACTGTACGTAGTTTACATTCCCATCTGATACGTGAAGAATATGTTTTTTTGTCAAGGGCTCCTAAAGCTATTAAACCTTACAGGTAAGTCATGCAGATACCCTTACTAAAACCAACACGGCTATAGGATTTGGCTAGAACTTGTTTTCAAGAGCACTTATGTTATTTAGGAGTCTAATTCACTGTTCTGAAAGCAGCTTGGACGCTTAGTATATGAAATCTCACTGACCTTCAAAGGGACATGTAAGCATTTATGGTCAGATTCTGAATGCAATGGGAGGCCAGTAGGATTTTCTACAGTGCTTCAGTACCTCACTCCCTCTGAAATCTCTCTAAACTCTTTCCCCTTGAGTCAATTTAAAAAATGGGTCATGGATTTCTAAATCATACATGTAGTTATGAAAATATTGCCTGTAATTTATTTACACCTTATGAATAGCCTAGGAAAAAAGTGTGTTGTAGTCCTTTAGTAGAAAATGTGTTCTCTGAATTTTTTTCTCAGACAAATCTCATTTTTCTGTTACTCATGTGTCATTTTAGTCATTTACTGCTGAACTATATCATTAGAAATGCGGGTCACATAGGCCCTGCTTAAATTACGTATAAGGTGACCCAAATGTTTAAGGTAAGCTGATGTAATTGAGCATCACTTTAAGCAATTTATGCCGCTGAAGATCAGCCCTCTCAAAGTTCTGCGTCTTCCTTACTGGAATTACTTCACCTTCTCAAGTCTTTTCTGACATCTTCACATATTAGTCAGGACCCCCTACCTTCCCATCCCTTGCTTATTTGACTGGCTTGTGGGACTGATGCAATTACTGTCTCCATATACAGCCCATTATTAGTTTAAAAAATATAAAAATTTAATCTGAAACACAAACATACCTATTATAGATGGTGTGTAGAAAAGCTGAAGGAGAAAATTGCAGACAAAAAAGAGGAACTTTGCTTGAGTGTAAGAAAAATATATTCTACCTATTTGTTGCATAGTTATGATAATCCAGTATCCTCTCATGTAGTAAGGTAGCATACAACCTAATGCATCTTTTGTATGTCTTGAGTTATAATTGTCAGTGTTATCTGCTGAACAATTAGTATGTGTGCAAACAGAATAGTTAGAATGGCCAATTGTGCTTTTCTTGCCTTATTCTTCCATCCGTTTTCCAGCTGACATTCCCCTTCCTTTCAAATCTTATGGCTAGAAAACACTTCTATTGCACACTGACAACTGTATACTATGGCAATTAAGAGTACTGTTCAGAGCTATCGATTAAACACCCAGTGACTTCTTGCAGGGCCATTACATTTGTGCCAGAATAGTGTTATCAGGCTCTACACTAGCATTGCACTTTAGTGCAATGGCTTTTCATAGACTCTGTTTAAAATATATGGAAAAACATTTGCCAGAAGCATGTGCTGCATGTGATGTTGAGCACCGACTTTGCAGCTGTCTCTGTAATTCTTAGAAAGGTGAAAAAGTGATGGCTTATGCACTGTACCACCCAAGTCTGAATTTTTTGCCTAAGGTCACCTTATATTTGGAGATCGTGGAAAATTAACCTGAATATTTATGATGGCATCAAAAATCAAGCAGCTGCAAAGTGTTTACAACATTTTTAAGAATATGAAACCAGCCTCTATTGTAAAATAAATACATCTGTTGGAACTGGATGAAAACTGAAAGCTCTTTGGTTCCATACTATCCTCTTATGTACATGAAAGTTGAAAAATTGTCAGTAGCGCAATTTTGAAACGCTGACGAGGGCTGTGTAGATAAAAGCTAAACCTTGAGCACAAGTACCAGTTTAATCATTCCAAAGACTGTACATGAAAACAAATCAACTTTAATCAAGTTTAATGTGAAAGAGATGCCATAAAACTTTATGGACACTTCCAAAATACAGAATTTCAGTGTAGCTAACTTTTCAAAATTTTATTCACTTATGCCATTTTCCTTTTAGAAAAATAAATTCTTTCATAGCACAGCAGTTCATATGCACACATTTTAAAAGAGCACATTAAAAATGTGCACAATATTGGTTTCAAATGTTTTTTGGATTTTTTCTTCTACAGAATTGTGATTTACAATCTGCGACTAATTTAATAGCTAACTGGAAAAATACATCAAGAGAAATATCACTATCTTTGTTTAGGCAGAAGTAATCTATTTGAAATCTTGGCTCTGCTGTTAAGTTGGTATTTAGATTGCATTTAGGGTATGAAAACATCAAAACATTTGGTTTTGTTCAAACTAGAGGAATAATGTATGTACTTTAGATGAGAGACAACACTTGCCTAAAAGTCAATATCTTGCATGAAAGGAAAAACTGTGCATCTGTTAGAGCTATGATTTTCAAACTTTTTCTTGCCAACTACTACCATCAGCAGCAGTGGTGACAGCAGCCTCAGCCTCCAACTCTACATGGGGTCACATGTCACATTGCAGACACTTGCGTACCATTTGTGGTATGTGGATCGCAGTTTGGGAATGCCTGTATTGGAGCTCTTAATCCATTTAAATACAACTGTGCTAATAAATAAAGGATCTGATTTAGAGACTAGGGTTTCATTTTACCTCTCTTTAGGAGATTTCATAGTTTGTGCATTTGGTTTTTCCAGTTCTTCCTAACAGTTATATGCTACTTGCACTGTCCCTTGATTTTTCATTGAAATACTTTTGACTCATGAAGCACATGGGATTTCAGGGTGTCCTCATTTCATGTTTTAAAGAAAATTCAAAGCTCTGTACAGTCAGCAGTCCCCCTCCACTTTGTGAGAGGGTCTTTGTGAACCTTTCAGCTGATGCGTAGTTGACTCTGCTGTGCAAGCTGAACAGTAAACTAATGTTTTATGCTGCTGCCCCGTGTTACCAACTATGTCCCAGATTACCAGTCCCTAAGCAGTGTTGCCTTACAATTCAGTAGAGCTTTGACAACCGGCATGCAAGACTTCATCAGAAGGCATAATGCTAGTCTAAGAGGATAGTAAGTATGAGGCATTCTTTTAATAAGGACCATTTTTAAATGTTAAGGAAGACTTGTTTTAATTGAAGGAGGGGAAAGGAACTCCTACCAAGAGTCGAAGAGATCCCCCAGAGCTCTCTGAAGTCTTCAAACTCTCTTGTATAGAACAGCCTGAGAATCAGCAATGAACAGAAGGTCATGAAAAATGTCCCACCCTGTTAATGTAAGTTTCAGCCGACTGGGTTATTCTCTTCTGCAGTTTAAAATTTGGCCTTAGTCTAAAATAAGACATCTGACCACTCTAGTTACTGCAGACAAATCATGAGAGACTAGTTTTATGGACCCAACTTTTGCTGGATTTATGTAAGCAGGGATGCAGAACAATTACCATTCAAACCATTCTTTTCAATCTACTATACAGCCGTGACAGCAGCAGGTGTATGGCAGCAACAACTAATCAAATCAGCCGAATTGGGGGTGTGAATCACATTGCGCTTCTGTGCAATGAAAACAAGCAGAAAAGAGAGGGCTAAATATTTGGTTGTGGATTTTTGTTTTGTTTTATTTTTAAGACCTTGATTTAAATTATAGGCAGCACAAATAGTAAGTGCAAGAAAAGCTAATGTATAATGAGGAATCTAAAGGAAAATTACATTTCATCCTTGCTGCAAAGAATAGGCAGAGGGAGATAGGTACAGGAGACACCCATTGTAATCAGTTTGAAAAAGCGAAGCATGGGTTTTGATTTTCCTAAAGAAGCAAATGCAAAAGAACTCTTGTCTGTACCATATGACTCATGATGCTTCTTTACCAGGCTTAAAGAGAATTGAACTTGAGTAATAGCACCATTAGAGCTCTTTACCAGGAGCCAATTCCTGTGGTTTCACTGGGTCCAGCTGCTGATGACTCACAGAGGAAGTGGCAGAGATTAGGTGCACAGGGAAAAAATCAGAACAGCTCAGAAATAAAGCAAATCAACCAAGCATTACCTTTTGTGCACAACAGAACAATGGCTTAACAACTAAGATTCAAAATGATCCGTCTTATTCCCCTCATTTGTGCTATTCCTGTTGGAAAGACCACCAGGAAACATGTGAACCACTCTGGAATACACACTGTAATCCATGGAACATCTCAATTAATATTCCCTCTTGACTACAGCTAGAACAATGCATAGCATCAAGCAGTTTAATCTCCGGCAATAATGCCTTTTGTAAGATCAAGAGGTCTTTCCCTTGAATTAAGTTTTAAGTGAGGATTTTGAAAGTTACTTAGGTATTCTATATGTTGTATAATGGTGGCTCCAGGTTTCATAAGCAATAGCTAGGTAAAAAGCATAGAAAAAGGCTGGTTGTCATTAGTAATGTTGCTGTCAGTAATTTCTCCTCTGCAATTTAGACATGGGGTTCCCTTTAGAGGAGAGTTAATCCTCCAGCGGGCTTTGTTACCAACTAATATATCCAAGACTGTATAAAATTTAAAACACTGCCACTAGTATTCAACTTTATGCTACAGAGAAAATATGTCCCCAGCAGCGAAAAGTTAAAATATCTAATTTAAAAGGGAAGATGCAAGGGGAAAGCATACTGGATCTTGTTTAAATTACTGCCGTACAGTAGTCGTACTGCTGTTGACTCACATCACCACAGTCTCAAACACATAGCTCAGGGGATATTTTCTTCAAGGAAATTGCTAAGTCTAACAATTGTTAATTGTTTAGACTAAAAAGTCCTTGAGCCAGGAGTCTTATTTGATTTTCTATAGATTAATAAAGTAACTTACTACAAGACATAAGCATATGTTTGACTAATTTATGCTGTTTTTTTTTACAAATCTTTGAAAATGATAAAATACTAATAGCGCTCTAGGAAACAATTATTGCAAATCTTGCTAGGTCAGCAATTTTTTCTTCCCCTTCTAGAAGGAAATTGAAATAGAGTTAACCTACATTCCATTTTCTATTTCCCATAAGAATTTCGTAGTTAGGATCAGTCAGTGATTATACAGAGATGCATTTTATAAACATTCCCCTTAGTGGTTAACATGAAAGAATTCACTACCATCTCTTTAAAATATCGAGTAATGAAATTTGCTTCACAGTATTTACCAGCAGCTGGTATTTGACAGCCATGAGGTGACTGTGTGACAGTGGTACATGGTCTCTGCAGCACAGACTTGAGTTTTTAAAAGGCCCACTCTGCCCTCAGCTTAAATTGCCTGTGCTTTTGCGCCTTGTTGGTGCCTGACTCCTGGGAAGTCAAGCTGTTGGCAGCAGCAAGAGTAGCCAGGGTGCACACAGGGTGCTATCGTGCTGCCGCAGGCGCTGAGCTGGGGCACCGTGGGTTCAGGGAGAGCTGCACGAGTTGCCCTGCAGGCGTGAATTCTTCTTTCCTGCATGTAGCCACGTGGTATTCATGGACTCAGTAACACATGGACTGAGCAGGTCAATTCATTTACCTTTGTCTCTTAAGGGTCAGTTATTTGTTGTTTAAATATTTTCAACTGTGTCATCTGCATTGATTCTTTTCCAGGTACATGAAGATGAGAGAGAGAAAATCTTACTCCTAGCAGTGCCATACATACGGAGGAAAAAAGGTGACGTACATTTAATATGCACTAGAAATTGTTTATCTTGTACTGTTTTGCTATCCCTTTAAGATATGCTGATTTGAACTGGTTGTCAATGCAACATCACTTAGTCGGTCTTCATCTGGACCTTAGAGCACAACAAAATTATTGGTACATAAATCTCTACTAATTTACTCTGGATTATGATTCTTTCATCAACATGCACATATAAATTATACCATTAATCATAATGATTTCTTTCGGTATTCATGTGGATGTAATATGTAATTTCATGGGAATCCCACTGTAATTTAAGATGAATTAATGTCCACTTATTGGAAAGTGCCTACCTACATTGATGTCTCTAGAGAAAAAAAACAACAACAACCATGATGCATCTTAGACTGCAGCCTAAATAACGAGGCTGCTAGTAAACAACCACCAAAGGAACATCACTGTAAGTAAAGGAGAGTTATCTTAGAGGCAGTTTGTTTTGAAACTCATCAGGCCAGACGGCAGGCTGCCTTCTAGGAGCACGTAAAGCACGTGTGAGGGAGCGGATGGGCTTCTCTCTCCTTCACCCCTATACCGGGGAAGAGCAGCATGAATATGCAGAGTGAGGGGAGAGCAGGAGCAGAGAGGTGTCTCTAGGTGCTTGAAAAGGAACAGGACAGGTTATCCCCTAGGATAACTGGGGAGTCAAGGTTGGCAGTAGAAAGGCATCTGCTGCACCTTTTTGACAGAGCAGGAGCAATAGCAGCTAGATCAGTCTTCATGAGTTACGTCTCCTAATTGGCCTGCACAGTAAATTCCCCTGAGGAGCAGCAGAAGCAGCAGTACTCATCCTCCTTTCTGCAGACTCTCCTTTAGCAAATGGGTTATACGTGTGGGGAGGGCAGGCTCACAGACGGAGCCCTGGACTGGAACGCATGGGTGGGTTGCTGGGTGCCACAGCCTTGTTGCTCTGGTCTCAGTTTGCCCTCCCTAAAAACTGCAGCTGCCGCCTTGAGAAGTGCTGTGCCCTCTCTGAAGGTAAAATATGGTAATACTTAATCTAGCTATCATCTATGTAAACAGAATGTATATATAGGTATGTACATACACACATAAGTAAGAAAGTGAAGGGGAAAAAAAAAGGAAGTTCTGACTGTAAGGAAAGATTCATTAGGAAAAATGAACTAATCACTGCTCTCCAAGGAGAAATTCATTCTGTTTAGGAGGCCGTACCCTCTGCTGCTGCACATACTTAATATAATTTATATTATTATTTAAATCACTGCGTAAATTTTAGATACTTTTAAAAATCGAGTTAATGGACCATACATTACTGCTTAGCATCATTTATATCAAGAATTAGTGGCTGTTATGATAGTATATGTGAATACAGAGGAGAAAACACAAACAAGCACATATCATAAAACTCATCTGTAGCATGGGTTTAAAATACACCCACAGCAGTGAACCCTTGGCAAAGTTCTGTGTGCTGTGACACGGGCTTTCCTTAACTGGCGTGCATCCCTGTTTTTAAATAACAGATATTCCTAAAATCCCTTACCACCAGCTAGTGGTTCTGTCCCTGCACCAACCTGCCAGGGCAGAATGTTTGTGCTGCTAGGAAATCTCTCCCGCTCCTCACTCTGCCGCGCAGGTTTCCAGGCGCCTGAGGAGGAAGATTAAGAAATTGTGGGGGAGAGGACAGGGGTCTAGAGAGGCTGCTTCGGAGCTGAAGAAAAGGGCTGGGAAGCTTTAAACAGACACAGTCTAGAAACAAAGAGAGAAGAAAAAAGAGAAAGAACCTGAAAGAGTGAGGGGACTCTGGCAGCTGAGACAAATCCAAGGCCTTCTGCTATGGGCTCATTAAAAGACAGAAGATATTCCCTTAAAATGTCTTACCTGTACGAGGCAGTAAAGCAGCTGCGCATCATTGCTTTCTTTAGGTTAGCTGTGCTGTCTTTCATTCCCGTGCGTGCTAGCAGCAGAAAAATTTTGACAAGAAGCCCAGTTTCGGAAGCTTTGACACAAAGTATGTCAGAGACCGAGATTCCTGTCGCTGTCGTGCTGAAGCCAGCGTGTCGCAGAAGGGAGCAAGCTGCCACGGGGGAGCGATGTCGGGCTGGGGTGGCAAAGAGCTGCTTCGGCCCCAGGGGAGAGGAGCCGCTGATACCCCGAGGTGGGTCGCGCCCGAGGCAGGGGGGAACAAGCAGGAGCAGCCCACGGATAATACGTGGGGCCAGCCTTAGCACTTCTTATTTGACTGCACTTCTCTAACTTACTGCAGGATGACTCTGGGAGGAAGCAGATTCAAATCTTTGAAAGACAGAAACTGAGGTAAAGAGCGAGTCATATAGCTCTTCGCTATGGACAAGAAGACACAGAGCTGAGTCCAGGAGCTGCGAGAAGGGCTTCTGGAAGGGAAAGGGCAAACCTCGCTCCCTGGCAAGTAGGTATCATACCGCTCATCTCGCTGGCGAAAGGGTCTCTTATGCCAAATCCTTGCATAGGAAGTGGGGAGGACTTGTTCAGATAAAAGGTTGGGCATTACTTTCTGATTATTTAATTTTTGTGCAATTGCATTAAACATAGTCTTCCATTAGAAAAACGGTCTGGAGTTGCGGCTACTTGGCTTTTTGCATCTCATGACTTAGGCTTAAATTCATCTGTGTATTGTATTCCCTCATTTGCAGTCTGTTTTATTCTGCCTAATTTGTAAACTTCTTACTTGGTAAGAGAAGAAGTTGGGTGTTTTTTCCCTCTAAAATAGAAATTAAATAGACATTAACAGAAACTAAAACTCCCGCCGTGATGCTTTGCTGCTCCCACAATGCCAAGGAGTACGCCTAGGTAGCCTTCATTAACAATAGGTAAGCCTTCATTAACAGAGACAAACTTGGTCTTCTGATATCTTATGACAAGCCCAGGCTAAGTAGTTGTAGTGAAAGCCTAATTTTAAACAGAAAGAGCAAAACTCAGAGACCACATATTGCTACCTCCTCCTTGCACTGACTAAACTCCTGCTCTGCCTAGAGGACAGTGAGAAAAGCTGCTCTGTGTGTGTACTGGCCAAATGATTTGCTCCTACTAAACGAATTTTCTCTGAGAAATACAAGCCGAGTTTTATAAAGTTCGGTTTTGCCTTGCAGTTTGTAAGCCACAAAGTTACTTCATTCCTGAACGTAAGGTTAGATAAAATTGTTGACCTTTCTAAAAACCGTAAAAATAATGTTTTGGTCTGTTCATTTCAAGTAACAGTAATTGTCTAAATGATTACTGTACCTAAATTATTAGTTACCATCTAAATGAATGCCTGTGCTGTTAGGTCACCTGGCGTTTTTATATGAGCAATTATATTGCCTATACATAAATCATTTTCTTTTCTGATAAATTCACAAACTGCTGCCTCAAATGCTCCCTACGTATTGTGCGTGTATTACTTAGGGTCTGAAACTAAGTGGGCAGATTGCTCACAGCAACGCATTTCATCCATGTCCTTTAGTTTCAGATGCAGAGTGCACCCCCAGCTGTCCAGGAGCACCTCCATTACCCAGCCTTGTGGTAGAGCAAATAGCATTCTGGCCTCAGTCTTCAAGCAGTAGATTAGTGACAGCAGTAGGCAGACAACTTTTGTCCCCAGGGAATATTAGAAATCTAGAGCTAGAAATAGATGGATTAACTGAAATGCAACCCAACCTCTGATCTACATTATTGCCTCTCTTCTTTATCTCACAAGGGAAGCAGAGATAAAGAGTGATAGACACCGATAATGATGGAAGTCCGTGACAATACACCGAAGTGATAAACTTCTTTGTGGCCCTCATTGTGCCCAGTTGTCTTCAGCTGGTTATGAGCTCTAGCCTCAAGCTATTTACACCATGATCAGGCTAGTAATTAGCAAAATGTTTAATATAATATAGAAGCAATTAGGAGGTGATAACATGCAATTAAGATGTGTTTTCAGATTAAAGATTTTATAGTGCTCTCTTTCTTGAAAAGATAAAGTGCCTATCTCAAAATGTCAAACTGCAGTGATTTAATCTGAGTTATTTTCAATTAATATGCATGTATTCTTGCGATGTGTTCACCGTTGTTATTGACATTGATAAATTAAGCTCATCCCAGCAGAATTTATCCTTGAGTCGCTCTATATTTCCTGAATGTCAGTTCTTTATTCCTTTTTTTTTTTATGCCTACAAGCTGTGCACGATCTAACTCTAAGTCCCTTGATTCATCCCTGGGATTACAGTAATGTGTCAGTCTGAGTGGAACAATAATCTGAAAGGGCATTGTTATAAATAGTGTGTTAGAATATAATTGTTTGTCATGTCGTTTCTCCCCTTTAAATCCCTCTGAGTCCTGTTTAAGTAATTTAGACAGCTAGAATGACAAGAGTCTTGAGACTTCACTTATAGAGTTGTCCAACCAGTCTTCAGCCTACCCGGCCTTTTGAGACTGTCTCATCTGCAAAGTAGGAAGTGCAAACAACAGATGAGTTCCAACTACGCTGTGGATTTGTTATGAGATTTCACACAGGCCATTTATAGAACAATGTAAATGCTACTGATACTAATTTTGCTCTGGCTAGTCAATAGAATTGCTTAGACAATAGGCATTAGGATGTTTCCTTTTACCATTAAGGAAGTTAAAATCCCAAAGCATAGCAGTTCAGATACTGCAGTTCCGTGTCTGAAGGAGAGGCTTTTTTTAAAGATGCTTTTAGATAAATTTTCCAACCATAAAGAAAAAAATACTAGTGGCAAGGACAGGAGACTCTTTTTGCATAGCTAGCTTTTTTCTCAAAAGAGATGAAACACATTTAAGAAAAAAAATGGTAGAAATCGAGGTGCCCTATTTGATCCAGTTTCTGGATCACGCAGGATTACTCTTTATTTTGCTGAACACATATTTTGCTTTTTGGTCCTTTCTAGCTTTTTACACTGTTTCAAGCAGTGAGGTATCCAAGCATCAGAGAATTTGCGCACACCACCTATCAAAAAGCTTTTCCTGAAATTTCACTATAATTCCCCTTGCTTTTTATGCTGAATATTTTCCCCACAGCTAGTGCTAACACTTTTCAAATATTTGTATTTATGTCTTTTCTCCTTCCCTTCATTCTACCCATTTAGGGTCTACTTGATGATATTTTGTTCACATATGATTGCAAAAAGGCAAGTTAGCTGACAGTCATTGCTAAGCAGGGCAATTTATATTTGGCTTTGTGTCATCTGACTGTGATTAAACTCTTTGGAGACCATGGATTTAGTAAAGTAAGATGATACAACTCACCATAGTTTATGCTGACTGGCCATTTCTTATTATCATTTAGTCAGCTAACCCAATTCTTAACAGGATTGTCAGACACGTTGAAATGTTGCCATTTGACAAACCCCAAGTCATTGCTGGTCAAGCCATGCATATTAGATTCTTGCCTATAGATAAATGCCTATAATGTTTTGGATTAATTACGTCCAACCATCTTCCAGCCTCTCAGTATCTTTCAGGTAAGTCACTCAGGGCTTAGAACTAAATGCAGTTCTCAAGCGTTATCTGTGAATATCTCACTGTCCTGTCCCTCACTTTTGCTTCACACACCAAAGCCGAGCCAAGAACAAACAACAAGATTAAAGGAAGCTGCCAAAAGCTGTAGATTTTCAGCTGGTACTAGTGCTCATTATATGGATGGAGTTGTTGACATTTTACATATATAAATGGTCTGAGAAACACTACGTAAAGACTTGAAAGAAGGTTTTCTTTTGACGAGAGGGAAAAGGAAAAAATGTTAAGAACATCTGCTGAAATTTATTGGTGAGTAGGTAAATATCTCACTGCCACTGGGCCAACAAGAAATCCCACTCTAGGAGTGAGATTAGCTGTACTCAGCTGATTCAACCCAATAGTACTGAGGTCAGATGGAAAGGAATGACAAGCTAGCTGGCAAAGTTATAATAGTCACGTTTATTTTGAATCAGTACCAAAGGTATGACTAGTTATCTGGAAATATTTTAAATGGGCCTGGGCACATAGAGAGACTCAGAGCAGAAAGAATTATGGTGTTTCCTTCTCCTGATTGGTGAGGTAATTCTGTGAGAATAGCTTCACTTTGCTCAATGGGCCACAGTTTGGTACAGAACTTGCTAACTACAGTAACCAAAACTGATGGCAGCACTCTGGATTCAGTGGCAATAAGGTGGAGCATGCAACCATGGAGGGGCTGGTGGCAACAGATGTCCCAGCCTGGGTGCTTCAGCCAACCTCACAGCAGAGAGACATCCGGACTCCAGCATGTGAGACTTTTTTGGGGGGTGGGGGGGGTTCCTTGTATGTTGATAAAGCCGTGCGATTGCTTGAGTCAGTGACATAGTTGGTGTTACCTCTACAAAGATCACCCTGCTGTTCATCCTGAAGCAAGAAGGAATCTAGTGCTGAAAGCAGATCTCAAAAAATGCTCCTAGTTGCCTCTAATTGTCTATGTTACCCTATATTACAAGTTACACAGTAGTCCGGAGGTATTAACAGATAGGGTAATAACCACAGTTGGAAAAATACAGGACAGATATAAAAAAAACTTTAATGTTGACAATATAAGACACAGTCTAACACATAAACAAATTTAGCAGCTACACAAGTGTTTAATGCCGCTGGGATATTAACCAAGAGGGGTATTTCTATGCTGGATATGCCTCTAGCTACAATTACAAGACCATTTGTCCAATATATTTTTGTTTAATATTTTTCTTTACAGGCAATCCATCAATGTCATACAGAGCTTACTGAATTATGCCACTCACATATTTAATAACAAATAATCCTTACAGGAACTATTATGGATTTAAGTATGATTATAGTAAGGATATCCAATAGCTACCTTAACTTAAACAAATGTCCTTTTTGCAAAGCCACAGACTTAATTATAGTGTAGCCCAGATCTGTATCAGTTTTAGTTGTGCTTCTAATAACTTCTTTTAGTTCAGACTAAAAATGAGGTGTTACAAAATTTTCTCAGATAATGTTTGCGATTATTAGATTATTCCCTCACAGCTGAGAAATGTGACATTTAAAATAACGTTACAAAGTGTGCCAGAGTCGGCTTCGCTAGCTGCTTCTC